GGAGGGCGTGGCTTAGCCTGGCTGCGGTGGTCTCACTGGTGACTCAACTGCCAAGTGACCCCTCCCCACTCCCCACCTCCCCCTGGACCAGGCCGCAGCCTCCACCTTCCCTGCAGCCGGTGGCGGCTCGGAGCCTCAGGGGAGCAGGAGCCACCCCTCCGTGTGTGCCCAGCACCCAGGGGAGCAGCTGGTGAAGAGTTTGCACACGGCACACTTGTTGAATCAGGAGTACACGCAGGGCCCCCCATTGTCTCCCAGCTCCAGGGTGGACCCCTGGCTCCGCGGCCCACACTGGCCCGGCCTTGAGCCCCGTTTCCAGCCTCGCCTCCCGCATCCCCTCCCGTCAGACACTCCCCGCTCTGCTGTGTGGCTGCCCGCGCGTGTCCGTCTCGGACCCCTGCGAATCCTGTCTCCCCGTCCTGCTCTCCCATGCGTGGGGCAGTCTCGTCCCTTTGGCCCGCACGCAGGGCACGGCTGCCGGAACACGCGTCTGTGTTCAGGTCTGAGCCCCTGGGCTGGGCCTGGGCCTCCTCCCGCGTTCCCGGAGCCCGCGGCCACAGCCCTCCTGGCGCGGCTTCACCCAGCTTAACGCGGGGAACCACTCTGACAGGTGGCCTTGCCCTCTCTGGTCCCTGACAGCCTGTGGGCACAGCGATGACCTCCCCCCCCGCAACCCACTTGCTCGTTTAGTGAAGTAAGTGTGAGGTGGTTTAGATGGGCACACTCAGGAGCTTGTTTGCAGGTGGCCCAGGATTCGCACGGCAAGGCCGGGGTAACTGACCTACCTGCTCCCTGGTCCCTGACCCGCCCTGCGCAGTGTTTCTGCCGGGGGCTGGCTCTGCTTTGCCGGTTGGGGGCCGTGCTCCCCACGGTCACCCCTGGGAGCCCAGGTATCACAGCCTCCCTGTGATATTATTAAATGGACGTTGTCTTTTCTGGATGATCAGAAAAGCAATTCTGCAAATCCGTTGTCTCTTTGTGATATATTTTGTTAAATTCTTTGCTTCATTCAAAATGCTGTCAATAATGATGAAGTCGCAGGTGGAAATTTTTTTTTTTTTGACGTGGTTTTTTTTTTTCACAGGAGGGTGGAGCTTGTGTCTCATGGGTCTGTGTCTGCTCCCTGTAGGCCACCTCTGCGTCCTTGGCGAGGTGAGGTGATGGGTCTGAGGGGACAGAGGGCCAGATCCTGTGGGTCCCCTTGCTTGTGGCCACTGTGGGGTCAGACGATGTCCCCATGGTTGCTGGCACAGGACAGAGCCCTGCCTGGTGGTGGAGGTTATTCCAGGTGCCTGCAGGGCCAGGACACCGTCCAGGCCTGGGAGTCAGTTCCCACGCTTCGAGGGGGGTGTGGACGTGCTCTTGTCGGTGTCACTCCCAAGGGGGCCCCCTGAGGGAGGGGAGTAGCCCCCTTCTTGTCGTAGTCATCGGGGAGAGCTGGAAAAAAAGCCTGGCTCCAGTCAGCTCTAGCTGACTGTGCCAAGCACTCGTCTGGCTGCAGAGTGTACAAAGGTCACTAAGATGCTCGAACTCGGGAGGAGCTGCAATCTCAGGGAGGTGACAGACAGGAGGGCAGTTACCTGGGGCGGCGAGATGGAGATGCCACAGGCTCGCAGTGGGGGCCTGAGTGACTCGGCCTGGGGGAGTCGGGAAAGCTCCCAGAGGAGGCGACGCTGGGGCTGCATTTGAAGAAGAAACATGAAGTTTTACAAGCAGGAAGCGGCTGGTGCCGACATTCCTGTCCCCCAGGGCAGGCCTGCTACTTGGGCCTCAAAGCGCTCGTCAGTGGGGAGGACCACCGTCTGCTGCTGAATTTATTTAACCCGGAAACACAACAAAAATTAAATTGTCGTAAGTTCCCTTATGGTCAGAACTCATCTGGTGACACTCGTGTGTGGTCCTCCTGGATGGCCAGCCAGTCCCTTCCAGCGGCAGCGTGTGGGAAGGGGGGCCGCCACCAACCGAGGGGTGACTGAGTCCAGGATGCTGGTCAGGCCCCAGACACCTGTTCATATAATCCTCGCTTGCACGTTCAGATTTCAAGGCATATGGCAAAGCCAGGTGTGCGTGTCACCACCTGAGGAAGGACCCTGGGTGCCCAGAGCGGGCCCCGCAGGCCACGGGCACCTTGGTACATCAGCCACACCCCTGGGCCGTGACCTCCAGTCACTTCTGGGCACACCGACGGGGCACCTCGCCCTCCCACCCCGCCCCCTCCTCCTTTTCAGGGGTGGGGACTCAGGATCAACACTCACTCATTCAGAGGTGACCCAGCCGAGCTCCAGAAAAGCAATGTCAGAAACACCCACACGCCACGTCAAGGGCCCCAAAACAAGCATCACGCGATGCTCCTCAGCTGCAGAAAACGGGGTCGAGGCCTCAGACGGCTGGTCCTGCATCGCGGGGTTGCCAGGACGCACGCGGGAAGGAGTGTGATCCTGTGGCGGGGTCGAGGCCTCAGCCGGCTGGTCCTGCGTCGCGGGGTGGCCAGGACGCACGCGGGAAGGAGTGTGATCCCGCGGCACCCCTCCCCCAGGCGTTTGCTCTGTGTTTCCCTTAAAATTATCTCAAACTTACAAAATACGCAACACAGAAAAATTTTTCCTTTTGACAATGAGCAGCCAGCCCAGCGCCCCGTCACCCTCCCATGTATCTGAATGTGCACGTCCTCCCCACGAGGCTGTCCCGAGTGCCACACAGCCTGAAAGTCGGGGAGGCGGTGCCGAGGCGTTCAGGCCCCATTCGAGTCTCCCCCTTTCCCAGTAGCGCCCGCTGGGGCTCGAGAACCAGCTCAGAACTCCGGCCCCAGTCTCCGAGTTGGAGTGTGCCTCAGTCCCTCCTTGCTCGTCACCCTTCCCCCCGCGACGCCGCCACGTGACACGGGCGAGGGACGCGGGCCTGGGGACGGCGTCGGGCTGCAGGTGACCCGGCGACAGCTGATAAGCACCTCCCGGCTTCTCTTTGGCACATCCGAGCTGCCGGCATCGCTGCTCTGCTGCTTTGGGCCATTGCGAAGTGAAATTGGGGTGACTTATGACACCATGACAGTCCACCTGATCACCACGACGGCTACTCAGTGACGTCCAGGCCAGAGCGCCTCCCGTGCGGGGACACTGGACAGACGAGGTTTCCCACCAGGAGCGGGACGGGGCAGGACTCGCCAGATTTGGTCCCGCTCCTCAGCGCGGCGTGGAATTTAAAACGTGTGAGTTGTTTCTGGGACTCTCCATTTAACATTCTTGGCCCCAGTTGACTGAAACCACAAAACATAAAACTAGGGATAAGGGGCGATGACTGTATTTAAAAAAAGTTTTCATCTTTTATGTACTTTTGGAATCCACTTTAAGTCCTTTCAAAGACGAGGCAGGTGTGATTAGCAGTACATGGGAATAAAATCAGCTACAGGGTTTTGGCCGACGTGGTGCATCGCGGGTCACAGCTGCCAGGAGGGGCTGAGGTTGTGGACCGGAGGAGGTGCCACAGGTGAGGAGCCACGCCCGTCCTGGCACGTCCTGAAGGGCACACGGAGCCGGAGAACGGCAGAGGGGGTGAGCGCGCCGGGCCTGCGGCGGGTTGGGAGGGACCCCAGGGCAGGGTGGCCCGCACAGCCGCGGAACGTAGATTCTTTTTTAAGGTATTTTGAGCAAACCCATCATTTGTATTTCACCTTTTTCTCATAAAATCAACGTGAATTATTCCACAGTTGAAAGTCTTAATTGAGCATAGCTTACTCAGTGTGACAATCATCTTTTTAAATTTTTGAATGAAGACAGACAAGCCTTCGTGTTTTCTCCTAGAGTGCACCTGCCACATCCCCAGCGGCCGTGACAGACACACCTGTCTGCCTGGTACACCCCCAGGTGGAGGAGCCCCCCGAGACCTTCAGGCTGAGAGCATGTCCGACTGCACGTGGCCCTCCACGGACAGGACCCAGAGCCCCAGAGGCACGAGTGGCAGAAAGTGACATCTGCGGTGGCTTTCTGCGCAGACACACCTGTGCTCAGGATTCAGGCCACTGTCACCCCCTCCCCCACCTGGCAATCCGAACCAGAGATGCTTTTGAGCTTCCTTTGTGCTGCCCAGGAAGGGGGTGCTGTGCCGACAGGTGGTGATCCCACGAGCTTCTGGAAGGAGCGCGGACCGCAGCTGCCCGCCGCACAGATCCACCAGGAGGATTCGCTGTCCCGCCCTGCTCAGCACCCAGGAACGGGCTTCAAGACCCCGCTGAAACACTCACTGACAACTTTCTAGAAAAACCAGGCTCCATGAATCACAGCTGGTTGGCCTCATTATGTAAATGTCAAATGTCAAATGTGTGGTCTGTAAACACGCCCTCCGAACCTGCTCCTTGACCCAGGAGCCGTTGGGCTTGGCACGTAAGGGCGGGGCCGGGAGCTGTCAGGCGGGGAGGGCGCCGGCTCTGCGTGTTGCCCAAGGCCGCAGTGATGGGACAAGGACCAAAGGGTGGTCAGTGCTGACAGAACAGACAGAGAGCTGGGTTTAGTGAGGGTTCGGGTTGTGCCAAACGAAAAAACGAGACGATGAGCAAAGATGACGAGGATGTGCCCGAGGGAGTGACCAAGACCCTTGATCACGTGTGCCAGGTACTCAGGAGTCTAACAAACGCTGGAATGACGGACAAACGTATGCATGGATCGAACGCATAGATGAATACGATAAACACATCCGACCTTGGGGAAGGGGAGAGGCTGGGTTACAAATGAAATCGTTCTTTTGCCATCCGGATATTCAAAACATGTTGTAAAACCATCATGGGCAAAACAGGGCATAAGAGCACACGGATAAAGGAGAAGAGAAAGTCAGGAATTAGACCTAAATACACACGGCAGTTTACTGTGTGTCAAGTCAGCATTGTGAAGTTAGTGTGGAAATGTGGATTATTGAATAAGTGATGCAGGGAAAAAATCCATTCTGAATCCACATCTCACACTGTCGTATTAGGATACAATTCGGATGGATCAAAAATTAAAATTTGAAACAATGAAATCCTAGAAGTCTGAGACATAAATATGGAACATATATATTTTTCATCTCAATGTGGGGAAAGCATTTTTCAAATGTAACATAAAGTCCCAAAACATAAAAGATTGATAAATCTGACCCACAGAAAAACAAAAATTTTGATATGGCTAAAACCACAATTGAGAGAGACCTGCGACAAAAAGCTGAGATAAAATGCTTGTGACCCCATCACAGATAAGGTCTTCTAAGAATCGAGACAAAAACAAACAGCAGCAGAGCGGACAAAGGACAGGAGCACTCGGTGAAAAGGGACTATAAATGGCCCTTAAGCACATAAACAGCTCGGCGCGGCGCACGGGAAGAGACGTGGAATTTAAATTCAACTGCGATGTTTCCCTAGCAGATCCGAGTCTGGCGACACAGGGTGGAGACCGCAGGGGACAGGCGCCGCCCCGCTCACACGCACGAGGACAGCGTCACTGCATGGGCACGGGGACAGGCCGCGGCCACGCGACGGCAAGCTGCTCCCATCGCCCGGAGACACGCGCACCCGTCAATCAGCAGGAGGAAACCCCGCCGGAGGTGGACAAGCGCCCAGGTCCCTGGGGTGGAAAACAGTGGGCGTGAACACACTGCCGGGTAGGTTCCGCGGGGGACGCCCGGGGCGGCTCCGCAGTGTGACAGTCGGGAGGGACATCAAGAGACTGGCGACACGGGTTGCCTCTGTGGAAGAGACTGAGTGCCCGGGAAACAGCGGTGTCATGTGTCACAGCTACCGAGTCGCCTTTGACTTCTGAGTCTACACGTAAGTATAGCAGCTATTCCAAATAATAGTGACAACAAACAAGAAGGTGTCCTCTAGCAGGGGAGACAAAATCTACCCGTGACGGGGCGTCCCAAGAGGCAGGCGTGGCACTGTGCCCTGGCGTGGCCCGAAGAACCAGGCAAGAGGCAGTTGAGGCAGAAGCGGGCCTCCGTCTTCCTCAAATATTCTTCAATGGGACCGGATGGGTGCACGAAGCTCCAAGTTCAGGTTCGTACAGCCGCACTGCGGCCTCCGACAAGGTTTTGCTCTGGTTAGAAGCAGGTGCCTGAACACCTGAAGAGCACCACGAGCACGGACGGAACCTGGTAAAAGTCGAGGGTCTGATGCTGCTCGTTAAAGGCTTTTCAAGCATTTGTCACCCCCCTTTGGGACCTGTTCCCGTTCAAATAACTGTGCTTAACGCCACCGTGTGCCGGCAGGAGACAGAAAATGTATGTTATTTTTAGCCAATTCTAGTACAAATGGTAGATGCGCTGTGGGCTCTGCGGGCAGACTTTTGCCTCTCAGCTCCTGGGAAGCCAAATTTATTTAAATTGCCATCCTTGTCTGTCATCTCAAATGGAGAAATGGACTTTCTAGATTCCTCAAACTGTGATGTGGTGGGTGAATGAATTCCCAAGGTGACATCTAACTGCGGCTGGACTAAAAGTTTGGGGGTTTTTTCCCCCTTAAAGCTAAGTAAGGATGTAACGTTTCAGCTCAGCAGCTCATAAAGACAGAATTTACCGATAGAGCACGTCTCTGTTTTCTGGATAGCTCTAACTCTGGCGCTTTCCACGTCTACCAGGAGAAACTGTCTTAAACAGTAAGGCAGAACCTGAGAGAAATGATTTCACTCTTTACTGCCTGCTTCGCCAAAAAAGTCTATTCAAGTTCACTCTCTATCGGCCCCTTAAACATACTATTTGACACGCACACTCCTGTTTTCTCTCCCACTCCCCATCCGATTCTGTGCTTCCAGTTTTGTTTATGGCTTGTCTTTCACCTTGTTTTGTTTTTTGTTTTTTTTACTGACCACAAGTTCTGAAATTAATGTAGTTACATGCATCAAGGGTTTCTTTCACACTGAACTCTTTCTGTATCAAGTGTTCAAAAAAATCCTCATGACTTTGAAGTTAGAGACTAGGATATAGTCTCTTCTAAAAATTTTGAAAAGCTTCCTTTTCATATTTAAATCCTTAAACCAAGTGGAATGGCTTTTTGTGAATAAGGTGGGGAAAGGGTCATTTCAATAATTTCAATTTTTCTTTTCCCTTTGTGCATTTATAAATTGTTCCTGGACAATTTTCTGAATCGTCACACTGGTCTAGAATGTCACCTCTGTCATGTTCTGTATCACATTCCGTAAGCGCGTGGGGATTCTGATTCTGGTCCATGTGTTGTCTCCCTTACTCCAGAATCTCCCGATCTTATTTATCGTTACGGGGTTTATAATAAAGTTGGTCCCACCCCTCTTACAATGTACCTCTTTCCTCAGGCGTGTCCTGGCTCTTGCCTTTATTCTTCCCGGAATTAGCTTAACTCCAACAAAAACTTGTGATTTTATTTAAAATTGAATTCAAACTACAGATCAGTCCAGGGAGAATTGAAATCTTTATAATGAATCTTTAAAATAATATAGGAATCTCTATTTAGGTCTTTATTAATGTTTTTCAATAAGGTTTTATAATTTTCTACACGTAGGTCTTAAGATTTTTGTCAGATTTATTCCTAGGTACCTCAAATTTTTTGCTACTGTAAATGTTTTCCTTTTTAAAATGTTTTCCAAATGATCTGTCGATGTACAGAAATGCACTTGATGTTATATTAATCTTGAAGCCAATCAAGCTCTTATTTCTACCTATTATCCAGATTCTTTTGACTTTTAATGCAGAAAACCGTGAATCTGTGAATGACCATTTTCTTTCTTTC